GCTCTCCAGGTCTCTTGAAATCGAATTCTACCTATTACAGTATAACTTGAATTACCGAAAACCTCGGCTCTGCGCTTCCACCAACACTGTATTTAACGTTTTATTGCGCCGGCCGTTGGCGAACGATAGCCGGGAAACGGGTACTTGAATTCTATGGTATTTGAACTCGTCGATTTACTTATGGAAATTGCAGTCTCGAGTGCAAGAGCTTTTCGGAAATATTATAATTCAACGGCCGTGCCAGTGCAATGTCAGCGGGAAGCCGTTTAAAACGCACCGAGAGTGGATTCTACTCGAAAATTCTGTCGACGCGTTTCCCCCTCCTCCTTTCCCAAACTGAAGAATCATTCGATTTCGAGATTCACCTCGACGCTCGATATCTACGACGATATTTGTCAAAGTTTTGTCTTCTTCGTTTCATCCTCAGAGTAAATAACTCGGCCGCAATTTCGCCAGCCACCGAGATTTAATCATCGATCTTGGGAGGGAAACTCGGCAAACTTTCCCCAACAACTCTGCATAAGCTCTCGATATGCAATTCCTTTTGCAATAGCAAATACGTCTTAACCAAATATCCTCTTGCCGGTATCGTAAGTGCGTATCACGACGTTCTTCGTCTTTGTGCACGCTTTTCGTTCCACTTTGCGTGGAAAACAATCCGAGGATACGTCGTACGCGATGCTTATCGAAAACGCAGAAAACAACAAGACAACAGTTTTGTTCTTTTCCCCGCCTGTCTGTTGGAATAATTAAAAGTTTAATTTAGTTTGGTCCCGGAGACTGGAAAAGCGGGCGAGAGTCGCCTGTCTAGGATCGAACGAGTTCGCCTCTCGACCGGTATCGGCGTGTATCGTTTCACAGTTGACAAAAGTCCGTCGATTTAAACTTGAGTCGCCGGATTCCTGGGTGAACAAGTTTGAAAGGTTCGTCGCAAAGGAAATCCCTCGCCCCGTTGCTCTATTCAGGCAACGTTTCTCCACAGGGGTAAACTGTCGATGCAACGTGAAACAATCTCTTTGAGAATGTTTCGCAATAACAGCGACGAGAGCCAGCTCCCGACGTTCGACCAATCAATTCTCCAAGCCAATCGATAAACTATCCCATTATTTCCCGCGCAGTTCGCGCAGTTTCTCTCCGGCACTCCTCCGTTTAAAACTCGATCGAAGTTTTCCAATTCTTTTAATTCTTTCAATTAATTCCCTCGTTACTGCCGAGTTTTATTCAAATGGCGCGCACTTTTTAAACAATCGCGCGCGAACCTTTTCAACTGTTCTCGCGAAAGTCTCTCGCCTTCCTCGGAAAGGAGGGAATTTTCCTCACGAACGTTAGAGTACGTTGGAAACAATCGCGAGCCAACGGACGCGAAAAATATTGAAAAGGGAATATTTTTCTTTTTTCTTTTTTTTTTTTTTTTTTAGGTAAAAAGTATGAAAAAAATTCTAAAAAACGGAAAATATCGTCGAACGTTTTAACAATTCAGGGAGACGGAGACCGTTTCCTAAAATTGAACATCGAAAAGTGCTTACAGAGACGATAAGGTTCGCTGTTGTTCCTCGATTCTCTTCTGGTTCTGGTGCGTTACTACGACAATTTCGGAAGTTTGTTCGCGATCGAAGCGAAATGCATCCGCAGCTCGTTGGAATGCCGTCACTTGGAATGGCTACTTATCGTTGGAAGAAAAATACTAGGTTCTGTCGAACATTCGGCAATTCGTGAATCTACGGTGAAAGGGGAGGGAAACAGTTACTGAACGAGGCAAGTTGGTTGCAGCAAGGCGGGTGTTGTTTTCTTATTTCCCGTGGAAACGTGGAAATATCGGACGGGGCTGGCGAAGAAAGACGAACGTCGTATCATTCGTTACAGCAGAATTTAATAAGAAGCTGGAACCGGGAACGAAGCGTGCCCCGGCGTCGTATCCTGGCACGGAGATCCTACCGCGTCTAATGAAAATTGAGTTCTGCAAAGGGGAGAACGTTTAGTCAACATTGCCTGCGCGCAGAAACTTTCGGAGGCATCTCTTTAACGAGTGCAAATTGGCGTACACTGGAAAACTGCCAGACGGCCAAATGGGAGGTAATAAGATATTCCAGTCCGCTACCCATCGATTGTTGTAAGAAACTCTCCGAGTGCCTTCCGAACGCGACACTTTCCTGATGATAACGGTCAATTTCCCAGAAATTTCCCTCCGTTTTGATCTACTTTGCCGAAGAAATATTCAACATTTTTTACACGGCTTCACAGCTTCGGTATTACCATCTCTCCTTGCGATTAGTTATCGAGGATCAAGCCGACAATTCGAAATAAGTAATTGGAAGAATCGAACAAACTCGACCCGAGAAAGAGAGAGAGAGAGAGAGAGGGGGGGGGGTATTTTTGCCGCGTGAAATTGCGAACGAAAGCGGATAGAGCGGATAGTTTGCCCGTTTTACTTTTATTCGCGAGTTGTTGCAACGACAAATAATAATACGGTAACCCTGTTTCGCGGTAGCACACACAGGGAAGAGTTTAAATTGGAAGGTGCCCAAGGGCGTCTCGTATGCAGTTAACGGGGGTTATATCCAAGGCTCGGATATTCTACCCGACCACTGATTGCAGTTAACTCGGGCCACTACGATCCGCTACGATGATACAATGTAGGGCGTGCTTCCCGAACTCGATTTTGTATTATCTTTCAAAATAGCGTTGCGCCCGTGAAATCCACCGACCGGCTTAATTATCGCGTTTCGTTCGTCCGTAAATCCAGAGGATGCGTCCGCAGGGACGTGTTTCTACGAATTTTTGAAACGTGCAAATTTTCTAAATCTGCTAAAGAGACACGGACACGCTTGTAATTCCAACGCGCGCAAATAAGAAAGGTGAACAGTGTTGTTAACCGAACTCGACTTGAATTTCGTTCGAGGTTTATTATCCTAATATGTGCCAAAGTTTGCTTCGTTAGGAGGCAGTTGGTATTGATATCGATGCGCGTGCTATAATTATTACACGATGCGTTTGCCGTTGATGACTACCATCGAAATACGAGACGAGCTTTCGAGGTCCGCCCACGTGCAAGTTTTCCAGAAATTTTCACCCGGTTTGGTTTCAAACAAACTCGGCATGTTACGCGCGAGTCGACCCGAGATACCACCCCGTTCGTGATCGTCGCGCGGAAAATACGAAACGAAGGCGAAATTCGTCTCGAATGGCGAACGAGATTTCTCTCGTCGGCCGGCGAAACAAATAAAAACTCGGATCGTACTTGGGCAGCTTCCTAAAGCTGTTGCCTCGCTGTTCTCGCGCGTTTGTTTCTTATTTCGAAGCTCGGCCCGTAGTCCGGCCACGGCAGAGGTTACCGACCCAGCCCTTAATACGTACACTTATCACGCTGCAATGATCCTGTTAGCAACTTTTTCCCCCGTTCGTCTCTGCCTCTCGCGCCGCCTCTTCGGCCCGTGAGACAGACGGTTAAACGGGTGAGCCTTTATTGGCTTTGGAAGCCACGAGAGTGCTCGTCCCGGCTCGTTCCTCGCACCGCCACCGGCGGCCAAACTTTGTCGAAAGCGGACGAGGAAAAACGTAAGCCGCGCCTCGCCCTGGCCTCGCGGAATGGTCACCCTTTAAAATGAACCGACTCTCGTCGCTACACGCTACCGGTGTGTTAATTTATTTCACCGGCGTGTCCCATCGTCGTCCACGACCCACCCCCACCCCGTGAATTTACTTTAACCCCCGAGATTAACAAAGGGCTCGGTTCGGCGGGCAAAGTTCGCCGCACCTGAATTTCCACGCGTTCGTTCTCTACGCTGGGAAAATTCGTCGGTGTGTATCGTGTGTATCGACGTTCCCGTCAAAACGATTTTAGGGGAATTAGGCCGGGTTATCGCGTGGTGAATCGCCGGTGAATTTTAATACAGGCATTTGTAAAATCATCACGCACTATCCCCTATTCCGCGGGAATAATTACTCTGTCATCGTGCAATTACTTTGCCAACGTATCCTTGTTTGTTGTGTCGTCGTGCAACAACGTTAATTTCAACGGTGGCAGCACGCCCCGAATCATCATCCTGTCGGTCGCGGTGGATTCGTCTAACGCTGGACGTGTTAATACGTTGTCGCGTTGGAATCCATAACGAAAGCATTCGAGCCCCTCCCCACCCCCCCCCTTCCCCGTTCGTTTTCACTCGTTTAACACTCGAGTGGAGAAGCTCGTAACGACGAGACAAATCGATTCGAATTTCAATTCTTATTAACTGGGTGTCGCGCGCGGCAAGCGTGAACACGCTGGCCATTAAAATCGCCCCGAAAAACAATTAAAAACGCGGCAGGTGTGTATATCAATCGGCGAGCGGGGACGATTTTAATTGCGCCCGGTTCTCTATTAATTTCCTACAAACATCCCCGGCTGTGTCGGCGTAATTGAAATATAATTATCCACGGAACAACGCGGGCAATCCGGTAATTAAGAGGCACATCGAGTCGAAAGACAAAGTCCCTCGCTGTCGGATACAAAGCGGAGATAAATAAAACTGCCGGCGTTCTAAATTCGACGCGGTCGTCCCGAAGTTCGCAAAGCCAGCCTCGAACAAAACGTGTAACGATCGGGACAAACAAATTTCCCGCCAACAGCTGCGCCGCGAATCCAACGATTTATTTGCCCGTCTAATGACGCGTGCAACGCTAATTAATTAACCTACGTCGGCGCAGCTGTCGTTTAAGAATCGATCAGCGCTCGCGTTCGCTCGTCGATAATTACGTGACAAATTTTAATTAATCCACCGTAATTACGACGGACGACGTAACTCCTCGCGGACCGCTATATACGTTATGGACACGTAATTCCAAGTATACACAGTGCGATTGTCTCTATTCTTTTTTCTTTTTTTTTTTTTTTTTTTATCGCGTTTGCCTCGCGTTTATTCTTATCTCGCACATGGCCACCGAAAGAGACGAAAAAACTACTGAGGCGAGACAAAGTTTCGCCACGACGACGACGACGATAATAAGAAGATTGCGAAACTTACCGACATCCTTGGAACCACCCCACGTGCCCAGTTGCGCCTGGCGTGCTAATCGAGACAATGCGTCCACGTAGACGCGGGATGCGGCTGCGGCTCCTGCAAAATAACCAAACACACAGGGCAAATATAACCGGCTGAACAGCAGGTGTATCGCGATTTCCTACGTTTTCTTTGTTTCTCCCCCCATCCCGGTTTCGCGATAATTCACGCGGCACCCGCTACTTTCTCTTTAATTAAAGGAAGGGGTTTGCGCGGCGAGGATATATATATCGAGTCTTAATCGTATGGAAGTTCCATCGATTCGCTGGCGAAGAGACTCGTTTTAATTTTTCCTGGGAATTATTCAACAATTGCCACCCTTTGTTTCTTCTCTCCCTCCACCCCTTCCCCTCCCTTTCGTCGATACTCCGCTGCGTTTTAATTTCTTTATCTGGACGCGCGCATTAATATTATCGATCTTCGGACGAGTGACAAGTTTCTCTCTTCAGTCTCGAATTGTTCTCGTTATTTTCCTTTTTGAACCAGCAGCATCGTGCCGCTCTCATTTCGAACAGAATGACAACGCGTCAACGATATTGAGAGAGCGTGAAAATTTTCATTAATGTTCTACCCACGGCGTCCTTTCGAACCGGTAAGGAAAAAGAGTCGGTGTAGAAAAAGCCTGTTAAAGATACTCGGATTATCAATGAAGAACGATCGTTTCCCACGAAAATTTCTCGTTAAAACCTATGGGGCAGAAAAATTGGGACGGTGCTGCACGGAACAAGAGCGATGGTACGAGTAGTTGGAGGGTAGATCGGTGGAAATTGGCCGGTACAGTACCCTGTTTCCTTCGTTCGGGGAATCCCTCATAAATACAAGGGTTGTTTGGTTCGTAACTGACTGCCGTGGCGCGGGAGAGAAAAAGATGAGAAAGAGAGAGGGAGGGAGAGAAGGAAGGAAGGAAGGAAGGAAAGCTCGGACAAGAGGTAGCGCGAGGATAGGGAGGAAGCGCGGTGTGTATCTCGAGAAGAACGAACTTGTATTAAAGTGTGTTGGGGTTGTTTTATGGCAAACGTGGAGAGGATCCTTGTTCTCCTTTTGTCCTCTCGAGAGATCAGGTTGTGTCCTTCCGGCAGAAAAGTGGACACTTTGGATTTAATTGTAACAACGCGAATCTCCGAAATAGAAGAAATAGAAAGCTCTTCTAGAGCTTTCTCGCTTCGATGGAAGAACAAACCAGGATACGTATCGAACGTGAATTTCCTCCGAATTCTCTCATCACCAGTCGAGTTTTTTCAGCTTCATATTCATGCTCGCGCTTCTCTTTCAAAAATTCACCAAATCCTTGAACGAAGGCCTCTCCTTTACCGAACCGGACAAATTACTTTCGCGAAGATTCCTACTTTAAAAATCTTGGATAAAATGTTCGCAACTTTTCCCTCTAAACCCAGTTTGGCCCAGATTTCGAAACGAGTTAGGGGCGAGTCATCCTCCATCTCCGTTTTATCTTTACGTACTGGCGAAACTCTTTGGCGAAGGACTTTCCGCTAGGATGGAAGATAAAAAGGGAGAAGTGGCTGATCCGGTCCACACGTTACGTCCTTTTTGCTCGAGAGAGAAAGAGAGATAGAAAGGGAGAGAGAGCTCGTTCCTCCCCCGTTCACCCCAGAGTTGAGACAAAAGCAAGGCATTAGACGGGCACCGCGGTCGAATACCAATGCGTTAAGCAACCGAAGAAGCTTCGGCACCAAGTCGGCACCCTCTTAATCCTTCCCGCTCCACTCCAAGAATCGTAATAATTGCGAACGCGCCGCGAATCCGATTTAAACTTGTTAAAGTCTCCAAAAATCTCGAACCGTTTCCCTCCCTATCGTCTTTTTTTTTTTTTTTTTTTTTCGTCGTAAAATATGGACGTGTCATTATTCTGCCTTTACAGGCAGATAGAGAAGGACAAACGTTTCTCTAGCTTTCCTTTTTTAGTAAGGCTTCTTCAATTAGCAGAATTGGACGAAAATTAATCTCGTATTTCGGCCGTGCGTGTGCTGTGTGGAAATTTAAACGACCTTGAAGCTTATAACCTCCATCGAGAAACTAGAGTTCCATTCTGTTCCCTGGTTCTTGTCCGAACAGCTTTGCTTGACGGGGGAGGCTACCCTCACTCGTTACCGTGTTAATTGTTATTCTCGCCCGTTCTCCGTAATTACGCGGCGTTTCACAAGCAAAGTCCTCGCTCGAGCGTCGATCGTGTAACGCTTAGACCAACGATTCCAAGGGCTAACTGTGGCCCGTTGCATCGGCAATTGAAGCAAGACTCCGAGGCGAAGGAAATTAATTATCGATTATTTTTACCCTTCACCTTCTCACTCGCTCGAAATTTCATTCAAATTTCGAGTCGCTTTCCTTTGAAATCCGAAGCAGATTAATGACTTGCTTGCTTTCGAACTTGATTAAACTTAATTTAAATTAAGTATAGATACGTACTTAATTTCAAAGGTTACACACACACACACTAAGGCTACCAGGGATATTATCGTTTCTCGAGAAGCTTATTCCAAAAACGCATTTCCAAAAATCTGCCCTCTGTTTTTCGATGGAAATAGAAAGGAAAGTCCAACGAACGTGCTACCTCGGATAAAATTTTCACGAAGCGGAGATCGGTCCTCGTGAAGAGGGATCGTTTAAGCGGAATCGTCGGGAATCCCATCCGAACGACGCGAGAAAGAAATTTTCAAGCCGACGACGCGCACCCGGGGTCCCTGCGCGGAAATGAAGCGGAAGAGAGACGCATGTAATCAAGCGGATGTCGACACGGGAATTTCGAAGAGGTCTGGCGTGCTCCCCCGCCGATATCGGGGGAGTTTCGAATATGACGCGAGGGAGCAGATTTCCAGAGTATTAGCAACCCCTCCGGTAACCACCGACAGCTCCACACGCGTCTTTTATCACGGAGCGTGGATTCTGACCTCGCGACGAGGCAGCCGCGTGAATACTTCAGACTAGGGGGAGGTTCCACGATCTCGTTCCTCTTTTTATTTAGTTCCCCCCTCCCTCTCTCTCTCTCTCTCTCTCTCTCTCTCTCTCTCGCTCGCTCGCTCGCTTCCTTTCAGCTCGGCTTCTTTTCGCGTTTTTTTTCCACCGTGAAAACGCGTCTGGCTACCGCGATAATCAGATTCCTTCATAATTGACTACTTTACTTTACCTTGTTCCTGATAAGAGTAGATCTCGTGATTTGGATAATTGCTCGTTGTATGGTTTTTTTCTTTCTTTCTTTTTGTTTTTTTTAATTGGAAAATTATTCGCGAGAATGGGGAAATGTTTTTTATCTGAGTAATCGTCGAGACAATCTTCTTTTTCTTTCTTTTTTTTTCTTTTTACGTGGAACTGTGGAAGATTGAGGGGAGCGAATAAGAAATATTGAGAAAGGATTTCGTTGGGGAAAATTAGATTATCGACGAATTGATTCGTTCGGTTATTATAATTTCATCCCTTTGCTTTGTCCAAGCATCGTCTGATAATTGAAAATTAAGCTTCACAGCGGGATAAAGTTGATCACTCTTCGGAATTCATTTCACCGAACGCAAATACGTCGTTTCTGCATTAAACTTGGCTCTTTCCTCCCGGGAGGGATCGATCGGTCGGAGGACGATTTTTAACGTGGAAACATCGCGCGGATCGTTTCCTTAAATCGAAACTCGATTTAATTTCTTCGCCGCCGCTGCTATACATTTCACGGGTAATTTGATTTGATCGCGTTTAATAATATTATTGTCAACAGCATTAATATTAATAACGAGACGCTTGCTATTATTAACATTAATATCTAAATTTATTTCAGCTCTGTTATCATCGTGCGTACCGAAATTTCGTATCGAATATACGCGATCGAGTTCGCAAATTTATGATAATACGTACGTGCATATTGTCGCGCACTGTGAAATTCTCTAATATCACGTATTGCAAAGAACGCGGTCGTTGCATTTCATTTGATTAAAATACGTACGTATTATGTGTCGAAAAGGGGCAAGTGTCGAAATAACGCACGCATCAAAGGACAATGTACGCGGAATATATATACAGGGTGTTTCGTGGGACCCACTTTGATGAAAAAAAGTCATATAAATATATGTCCTATCTTCGTTTATGAGATACAATGAATTTTCTGTTTTAATTACTTTTATAAAAGATGGTCCAAATGACCACCTTGCATTTGAAGACAAGCCTGCTGCACGCGTCTTGTCATTCATCTGGTTACTCTCTCTATCATTCTTGGTGTTTCTCGAGTTTGTCGGAAGCCTTGCTCTATTCTATTTCGTAGTATTTCATGATTTTCTATCGACGTTGCGTATATAATAGATTTTAAATGTCGCCGCAAATGAAAATTTAATGGATTCAAATCCGGAGAACGAGCAGGCCATGCAATAGAACCTCCACGACCAATCCATTTATTTGCAAAGTGTTGATTGAAAAATTGCCTAGCCACTCGGCTAAAATGCGGCGGAGCTCCATGGTGCATAAACCGCGTACGAAATCTAATATCGACTGGACCTTCCTCTGATATTTCGTGTAAACGCGTGCTCAAAAAATCAACGTACTTGTGCCTGTTAGTTTCCCATCAAGAGAAAAAGGTCCAATTAAAAATTTATCAATTATTCCTGCACATACGTTTAAACTAAACTGGTGTTGATGTCTTGAATGCACAATAACATGTGGATTTTCTTCATCCCAATTACGATTATTATGAAAATTGAATGTACAATCCCTGGTAAAACTAGCTTACTAGAGTTTGCACTGTTTATAAAATTCATAATATATCTCATAAACGAAGACAGATAGGACATATATTTATATGACTTTTTTTCATTATTTTCAGACGTACAATCAGCTCCCGAAGTAGGCTCCACAAGTTACGAAACACCCTGTATATATATATATGTGTGTGTGTATCTAACTCGCGAGTTCCAATTTGTCAGACAAGAGAGGAGAAAACAAACATTAAGGTAGGCTTCACAACGGAGCACAAAGAATTTATTCTGCGTCGGTGTCGGCCTCGGTAATTAGAGAAACAGGCCCTGAAGGGTTCAAAGAACACTGAGCGGGCGATCGAAACGCTCGCTGATAGGGACGCGCGGGCATTAAATCACGCGCTCGATGGCAGGCTAATTAAGCATAGTCCCGTAG